GCGTATTGGGGATGATCATACTATCATTTTAGAGTGTGCAATCTGGGTCGGAATCCAGCATAATATATTTATAAAAAAAGAGGTTCACATAAAAGCACTCATGATAAAGCCGCGCCCGGCCCCTACAACATCATTTTGGATTTTCAGATGATGGGGCGGGTGGCAGGGGTAGGGGGCAAAGTTCGCCCCACTCTTCAAGTACCCCCCTCCCCAAAGGGCCACTTTTACTTTGTAAAGAAGTGCCCCTTCCCCTTTTTAACTCGGATAAGCGCACATTTCATCAACACATGTGCCCCCTTTCCTATCTGATAAGGGCTATTTAGAAAAATGAGGCCCTTCATAAATAAAAAGTGTCCCTTTTCATCTCTGGTAAATGACCATTTTCATATATGAGAAGTTAATTCTTTTCACTTCAGTGCGCTCTTCACCTTCGATAATTGCCCCTATTCAAATCTGAGAGATGCTCGTTTTACTTTGAAAAGTACCCCTTCCCCTCCTGATAGGTACTCTTTTCATCTATGATGAGTGCCCATTTTCACCTTTGCTAACTGCCCTTTTATTTTGAATCGTGCCCCTTTTCCTTTCTATTAAGGGACCTATCCCCTTTTCATAAATGCCCCTTTTCACCTCTGATAAATCAATTTCTGATGGATGCCCCTTTTCCGTCGACAAATGCCCATTTCCCATACTCATAAGTGCCCAATCTCATTTCTGGTGAGTGCCTCCTTTCAGGTGTAAGAAGTGCCCAGTTTAAACCTTGATAATTACTCTTTGTACCTTGACACATGCTCCTTTTCTTTTCTAATAAGTGTCTTTATCCCTTTCGATATGTGTCCCCTTGACCCCTCATCATCAGGCACGTAGGCACGGGGGGGGGCACGGGGGGGGCACGTGCCCCCTAACCTGCTCATCATTAGTCTTGCACTAATTTAAAGCGACTAAGAGTAATTTCCCCTAAAGCTTGCTCGCTCGCTCGCATTTATAGATGATACAATTATATGTCACTTTAAAACAAATGTTTTTTCAGTCTTCCGTGATGCTTATAACCCCATCATGATTTGGTTTTTTCCTTTTTAAAAGATGTAATTTTTCACTCTGCGACCTCACAGATCTTACATTTTTTTCTCGCTCGCTTTGCTCGCTCGCAAATGAATATTCAGACAATCACACTCAGCCGAAAGTGTGATGCTTAAGCAATAACTTGTATGATATATAAAGAAAAACAAATATTGAAATCGTCCCTGATAATGGGATCACAATGAAAGGGTATATACCAATGTCTAAAAAAATGTATATTTTCGCCTTGAGATTTCGCTTTGTAGGTGCCCTTTTTTGTTGGTGCTTTCCACTTTGGAAATAGCTCCGCCGCCCTGCTTACGCATTAGCGCCAGCGTTAATTTCACGCTTGCGCGCACAGGGGGTGTATCTGTGCGTGTGTGTGTGTGTGTGTGGGGGGGGGGGTTCCTCTCTAGCTCTGAAGCTGATTTTTTTTTTACCTAGATTCGTGCGATTCGGTTAATACGTTAAGAGGGAGTCTGAGGGGTGATGTGCCCCCCTCTGAAGCTGACATTTTTTTGGATTTTTGAAACTTTTTTGTCCCCTTTCCAAAATAATTGTGCCCGTTTGTAGGTACCAGTACACTATTAAAGTACAGTGCTTCTAATATGACCTTGTCATTATTGGTAAGTTTAAATAATGGTCTGCGCGAATTTCGAATTTCCGGCCCCCCCTATTGGAAAATCCTGGATCCGCGCCTGGACCAGGGAGGTGTTTCACAAAGATCCCAAGTCTAACTAAACTGAAAGTTGGAGTTAAACATTATAGAGAGCCATTTGTAGCTTTCCAATAAAATATATTCCAAAGCAAAAATTCAAGTATTTTAGAGTTTTCATAAATTCCACATCACGAAAACGAAATATCCTAGGATAATAGAAAATATGAATGATTTGAATCAACATTTTATGCCTTTTAAAATAACTTTTACAAAATATTTTCAGAGATGCTAACGGCTTTTCATCAATTTAAAGTCCAACTTAGAGATAAATTAAACTTAGGATCTTTGTGAAACACCCCTCCCCCATGTTTATCAAGGAAAGAACCTTTGGGGGATTAACGTTTAGTGCATAGACGTTTGATGATCACTTATTCGGAATATGTTTAAAGAAATACTCTACAAAACAAATTATTCATACTTTAAACGACTATTTGTAATTGTTGAAGTATGTGAATTTTTTTTTGTTGTTGTTGAGAATTTGAAGTATTACAAACTTACATCTAAAAGTATTTAACAAACGCCTTTATAATTTAACCAGTCCAATTTTCATTCTTGAGTTACAAAAACACAAAAATCATCATATTTACAAGGGGTTTAAATATGTTAGTAGTTACTGACAACTAACTCCCATTCAGTGGGTGTCGGTGACCGGTCGAAGCGCTAGTGTGACTTATACGTCATTCACATGCACCTCCAGGCCGACCCAAGCCCGTCGACCATAAACTGATAAAATCTGTGTGATGTCGACAGGGGTCGTTTATGTCGTTCTGTTATCGCGGTTGTCGGCCTGCTGTCTGTTCATTGTCGGGTTCCAGAATTTGTCTGGATGTGATCTTTCAAACATGCTCGCAAGATTCCTTCCCGATCTTTTATCAGGGATTGATCGGGTACCAGAAGGGGACTAGTTAAAGGCAGAGGCGGCCCTCCCGGGGTGCCCCTTTTTACATAGGAAAAGTGCCCCTTTTACTTTGACAAGTGCCCCTATTACTTAGTAAACGTGCCCCTTCCCCCTTTTCACCTCTGACGAGTGCGCTTTTCATTTTTGACACGTGCCCCTTTTCCTTCGACATGTTTCCATTTTCCTTTGCAATTAATGTCCATTTTCCATTCTCATAAATCTTGAAATTATCTTGAATAAGTGCCATTTTTAATCTCTAGTAAGTACCTCTTACGTACAAGAAGTGCCCCTTTTCACTTTTGATAAGTGCCCCCTTCACCTCTGATAATTGCCCTATTCAAAACTGAGAGGTGCTTCTTTTACTTTGACAACTGCCCCTTTTTTCCTTTGTAAGAAGTGCCCCTTCTCCTTTTAATAACTACTCCTTTTTTAAACTCGGATGAGCACACCTTTCATTTTAAAATGTGCCCCTTTTATTTTCAAATAAGTGCCCCTTTTCCTTATGAAAAGTGCCCCCATTAAAAAGAGAGACCTCCTTCCCCTTTTCATAACTACCCCTTTCCTTTTCTAATAAGTGCCCCTTTTCCTTATGATAAGTGCCTCCATTAAAAAGAAAAGAGCTCCCTCCCCTTCTCATAACTGCCCTTTTTAAAAATCTGAACGGTGCCCCCTTCTCATTCAACAAATGCACATTTTCCTTTATTATAAGTGCCCCTTTTACATTTTCATAAGTGACCCTTTCAATATCTGGTCAGTGCCCCTTTTCAAGTCTGATAATTCCCTTTTTAATAATGAAACGTGCCCCTTTTTCTTTCTAATAAGGGACCTATCCCCTTTTCACCTCTTATAAATGCCCCTATCAAAATCTGATGGGTGCCCCTTTTCCGTCAACAAAATGCCTATTTACCATTTTCGTAAACGCATCTTTTTCATCACTAGTGAGAGCCTCTTTTCAGATGAAAAAATGCCTCATTTTCACCTCTTATAATTATCCTTTGTACTTTGACACGTGCTCCTTTTCTTTTCTAATAAGTGTCTTATCCCTTTCGATAATTGCCCCCTTTTCATGTAATCATTAAACGCGCCCATTATTTAAAGCGACTAAGAGCAATTTCCCCCAAAGTTCGCTCGCTGCGCTCGCTCGCATTTAAAGATGATATAATTATGTTACTTATGAAAGGTCTTTTCAGTCTTCCGTTATGAGAATGTGCTTATAACCCCATCACGATTGGCTTTTTCCTCTTTATAAGATGTAATTGTTCGCACTGCGACCTCACAGATCTTTAAAAATTTTGTCGCTCGCTTCGCTCGCTCGTAAATGCATATTAAGACAATACACCCAACTGTACACTATGATGCTTAAGCCATATCTTGTATGATTGTATGAAGAGAAACAAATAATGAAATCATCCCTGATAATGTAATCACAATGTAGGGGTATATACCAATGTCTAAAAAATTGTATATTTTCGCTTTGAGATTTCCCAATGTAGGTGCTCTTTTTTTTCCCAGAAAGTGCCCTTTTTTGTTGGTGCCCCCCCCCCCCACTTTGGAAGTCGCTCGGCTGCCCCTGGTTGAAGGTGACAGTTCCAAGAGAGTGAGAGAATTTAGAATGGGACAATATCAGTTTAAAGATAAATACCAGTTATGGTCATGTGATCGAATTGTGAAAGAAACGTTGTGGAATCGATCAGAAAAGGTTGATCATTTAGCATAATTCTTGGTAAAGTTACAAGCATGCACTGTACACAGAAAGATGTATATGGGACTACGCACACGTGCGCGACACGTGCGTTATATCTATCAGGTCCAAATAGATATAATAATTTACCAAATATATCAATTAGTAGGCGGTTTCTCGGCAAAATTTGTATGATCACGTATTAGTCAAAACATATTCTTTCAATAAGAGCTTCAATTTCAGTTTTTGAGAGGGGGACGTTTCCAAAAGTTGAATCACAGTCCGAATGAATACTTAATGAAGTTTGTTCGCCCGACTCAAAACCGAACAGTGCATCTCCCCGCCCGAACAATTTCTCTGATAACACATACAACAAACCTATGGGAGCACGACAGGAGCTAATAAAGCAGAGGTCCTAAATGAAACGTTCGAAGTCTCTTTGATTTCGACGAGTAATGTTTGCTTAAAAGTTAAAAGTAGTCGTGCTATAAATTGAAGGGGAAACAAAATCACTTTCAATATTCTCATGCTGACATTTGTAACTTAATAATACCATAATTCTAAAATATTAATTAATAAATTAATAAATCATTGATTCACTTATTCACAGATTCGTCCTTTCATTCGTTCATTTATTCATTCAAAAGGTCTAAAAGAATAACTGCCACGATGGAACTCAGCGGCAGAAGAAGACCGTCGTTGATGGCGCTCTTCATTTTCATGACGGTAATATTATTGCAAGGTAAGCAGAAGACAAATACCATTTATAGAACCTATAGAAAAAATGGCAAAACAAATAAAATTAATAAATGCATGAATAATTGAATAACTAAATAAAAAAAATGAATACATACCTAAGCAAATAAATAATTTAAATCCTAAGTAAATCAAAAAGACTGAAATGTGATAGATCAATAAATAATAAGTAAATATTTGAAGGAAAACAAATAGGATGAATTAAATAAATAGAACGAAATGCCTATGAAACATATTGCTCTGGAAAAAACGCCCTTATAATACTCTAATTAAAAGTTTTAAAAATGCGAAGCTCAAATGTGGTATAACATACATTTTCTTACTGACTCTTTTGTATTGTGTAACGTACAGTTTATGAATTAAACATGTTCTTTGGTAATGTTATTACACAGACGCGTATTACGAGGATTAATATCATAGGAAATTATAGGAAAAAACGATCTAAAAAAAAAATCAAGTTTACTTATAAATTAAGCATCGGTTTTCGAAATGCGATAACAAATATTTCATCAATTTATGTATAAACTTATTTCAGTTTCAACATCGTTAACGCAAACAACTACTACTACAATGACGACAGCGCCTAGCACAACTGCTTCATCTACAGTGACAGAAACCACCACTTTGTCATCTACAGTAACACCAACCTCCACTTTGTCATCTACAGTGACACCAACCTCCACTGTGTCATCTACAGTGACGCCAACCTCCACTGTGTCATCTACAGTGACACCAACCTCCACTTTGTCATCTACAGTGACACCAACCTCAACTGTGTCATCTACAGTGACAACAACCTCCACTGTGACATCTACAGTGACACCAACCTCCACTGTGTCATCTACAGTGACACCAACCTCCACTTTGTCATCTACAGTGACACCAACCTCCACTGTGTCATCTACAGTGACACCAACCTCCACTGTGTCATCTACAGTGACACCAACCTCAACTGTGTCAACTCAAGTAACACCAACATCCACTTTGTCATCTACAGTGACACCAACCTCCACTGTGTCATCTACAGTGACACCAACCTCCACTTTGCCATCTACAGTGACACCAACCTCCACTGTGTCATCTACAGTGACACCAACCACCACTTTGTCATCTACAGTGACACCAACATCCACTTTGTCATCTACAGTGACACCAACCTCCACTGTGTCATCTACAGTGACACAAACCTCCACTGTGTCATCGTCAGTAACACTAACCTCCACTTTGTCATCTACAGTGGCACCAACCTCCACTGTGTCATCTACAGCAACACCTACCTCTACTGTGTCATCTACAGTGACACCAAGCACCACTTTGTCATCTACAGTGACACCAACCTCCACTGTGTCATCTACATTGACACCAACCTCCACTTTGTCATCTACAGTGACACCAACCTCCACTCTGTCATCTACAGTAACACCAACCTCTACTGTGTCATCTACAGTGACACCAACCTCCACTTTGTCATCTTCAGTGACACCAAGCACCACTTTGTCATCTACAGTAACACCAACCTCCACTTTGTCATCTACAGTGACACCAACCTCCACTGTGTCATCTACAGTGACACCAACCATCACTTTGTCATCTACAGTGACAACAACCTCCACTGTGACATCTACAGTGACACCAACCTCCACTGTGTCATCTACAGTGACACCAACCTTCACTTTGTCATCTACAGTGACACCAACCTCCACTGTGTCATCTACAGTGACACCAACCTCCACTGTGTCATCTACAGTGACACCAACCTCTACTGTGTCATCTACGGTGACACCAACCTCCACTTTGTCATCTACAGTGACACCAACCTCCACTATGTCATCTACAGTGATACCAACCTCCACTTTGTCATCGTCAGTAACACCAACTACCACTGTGTCATCGTCAGGAACACCAACCTCTACTGTGTCATCTACAGTGACACCAACCACCACTTTGTCATCTACAGTGACACCAACATCCACTTTGTCATCTACAGTGACACCAACCTCCACTGTGTCATCTACAGTGACACCAACCTCCACTGTGTCATCTACAGTGACGCCAACCTCCACTGTGTCATCTACAGTGACACCAACCTCCACTTTGTCATCTACAGCAACACCAACCTCAACTGTGTCATCTACAGTGACAACAACCTCCACTGTGACATCTACAGTGACACCAACCTCCACTGTGTCATCTACAGTGACACCAACCTCCACTGTGTCATCTACAGTGACACCAACCTCTACTGTGTCATCTACGGTGACACCAACCTCCACTTTGTCATCTACAGTGACACCAACCTCCACTATGTCATCTACAGTGATACCAACCTCCACTTTGTCATCGTCAGTAACACCAACTACCACTGTGTCATCGTCAGGAACACCAACCTCTACTGTGTCATCTACAGTGACACCAACCACCACTTTGTCATCTACAGTGACACCAACATCCACTTTGTCATCTACAGTGACACCAACCTCCACTGTGTCATCTACAGTGACACCAACCTCCACTGTGTCATCTACAGTGACGCCAACCTCCACTGTGTCATCTACAGTGACACCAACCTCCACTTTGTCATCTACAGCAACACCAACCTCAACTGTGTCATCTACAGTGACAACAACCTCCACTGTGACATCTACAGTGACACCAACCTCGACTGTGTCATCTACAGTGACACCAACCTCCACTTTGTCATCTACAGTGACACCAACCTCCACTGTGTCATCTACAGTGACACCAACCTCCACTGTGTCATCTACAGTGACACCAACCTCAACTGTGTCATCTACAGTGACACCAACCTCCACTGTGTCATCTACAGTGACACCAACCACCACTTTGTCATCTACAGTGACACCAACATCCACTTTGTCATCTACAGTGACACCAACCTCCACTGTGTCATCTACAGTGACACAAACCTCCACTGTGTCATCGTCAGTAACACTAACCTCCACTTTGTCATCTACAGTGGCACCAACCTCCACTGTGTCATCTACAGCAACACCTACCTCTACTGTGTCATCTACAGTGACACCAAGCACCACTTTGTCATCTACAGTGACACCAACCTCCACTTTGTCATCTACAGTGACACCAAGCACCCCTTTGTCATCTACAGTGACACCAACCTCTACTGTGTCATCTACAGTGACACCAACCTCCACTTTGTCATCTACAGTGACACCAACCTCCACTCTGTCATCTACAGTAACACCAACCTCCACTTTGTCATCTTCAGTGACACCAAGCACCACTTTGTCATCTACAGTAACACCAACCTCTACTGTGTCATCTACAGTGACACCAAGCACCACTTTGTCATCTACAGTAACACCAACCTCCACTTTGTCATCTACAGTGACACCAACCTCCACTCTGTCATCTACAGTGACACCAACCTCCACTGTGTCTTCTACAGTAACACCAAGCACCACTTTGTCATCTACAGTGACACTAACCTCCACTGTGTCATCAACAGTAACACCAACCTCCACTTTGTCATCTACAGTGACACCAACCTCCACTCTGTCATCTACAGTAACACCAACCTCTACTGTGTCATCTACAGTGACACCAATATCCACTTTGTCATCGTCAGTGACAGTAACACCTACCTCCACTTTGTCATCTACAGTGACACCAACCTTCACTTTGTCATCTACAGTGACACCAACCTCCACTTTGTCATCTACAGTGACACCAACCTCCACTTTGTCATCTACAGTGACACCAACCTCCACTCTGTCATCTACAGTGACACCAACCTCCACTTTGTCATCTACAGTGACACCAACGTCTACTGTGTCATCTACAGTGACACCAACCTCCACTTTGTCATCTACAGTAACACCAACCTCCACTTTGTCATCTACAGTGACACCAAGCACCACTTTGTCATCTACAGTAACACCAAGCACCACTTTGTCATCTACAGTAACACCAACCTCCACTTTGTCATCTACAGTGACACCAACCTCCACTGTGTCATCTACAGTAACACCAACCTCCACTGTGTCATCAACAGTAACACCAACCTCCACTCTGTCATCTACAGTGACACCAACCTCCACTGTGTCTTCTACAGTAACACCAAGCACCACTTTGTCATCTACAGTGACACTAACCTCCACTGTGTCATCAACAGTAACACCAACCTCCACTTTGTCATCTACAGTGACACCAACCTCGACTGTGTCTTCTACAGTAACACCAAGCACCACTTTGTCATCTACAGTGACACCAACCTCCACTTTGTCATCTACAGTGACACCAAGCACCACTTTGTCATCTACAGTGACAACAACCTCCACTTTGTCATCTACAGTGACACCAACCTCAACTCTGTCATCTACAGTGACACCAACCTCCACTTTGTCATCTACAGTGACACCAATGTCTACTGTTTCATCTACAGTGACACCAACCTCCACTTTGTCATCTACAGTAACACCAACCTCCACTTTGTCATCTACAGTGACACCAAGCACCACTTTGTCATCTACAGTTACACCAACCTCCACTTTGTCATCTTCAGTGACACCAAGCACCACTTTGTCATCAACAGTAACACCAACCTCCACTGTGTCATCTACAGTGACACCAACCTCCACTGTGTCATCTACAGTGACACCAACCTCCACTTTGTCATCTACAGTGACACCAACCACCACTGTGTCTTCTACAGTAACACCAACCTCCACTGTGTCATCTACAGTGACACCAACCTCCACTTTGTCATCTACAGTGACACCAACTTCCACTCTGTCATCAACAGTAACACCAACAGCTACTGTGTCATCTACAGTGACACCAACCTCCACTTTGTCATCTTCAGTGACACCAACCTCCACTTTGTCATCTACAGTGACACCAAGCACCACTTTGTCATCAACAGTAACACCAACATCTACTGTGTCATCTACAGTGACACCAACCTCCACTTTCTCATCTTCAGTGACACCAACCTCCACTTTGTCATCTACAGTGACACCAACCTCCACTTTGTCATCTACAGTGACACCAAGCACCACTTTGTCATCTACAGTGACACCAACCTCCACTTTGTCATCTACAGTGACACCAACATCCACTTTGTCATCTACAGTGACACCAACCTCCACTGTGTCATCTACAGTGACACAAACCTCCACTGTGTCATCGTCAGTAACACTAACCTCCACTTTGTCATCTACAGTGGCACCAACCTCCACTGTGTCATCTACAGCAACACCTACCTCTACTGTGTCATCTACAGTGACACCAAGCACCACTTTGTCATCTACAGTGACACCAACCTCCACTGTGTCATCTACATTGACACCAACCTCCACTTTGTCATCTACAGTGACACCAACCTCCACTCTGTCATCTACAGTAACACCAACCTCTACTGTGTCATCTACAGTGACACCAACCTCCACTTTGTCATCTTCAGTGACACCAAGCACCACTTTGTCATCTACAGTAACACCAACCTCCACTTTGTCATCTACAGTGACACCAACCTCCACTGTGTCATCTACAGTGACACCAACCATCACTTTGTCATCTACAGTGACAACAACCTCCACTGTGACATCTACAGTGACACCAACCTCCACTGTGTCATCTACAGTGACACCAACCTTCACTTTGTCATCTACAGTGACACCAACCTCCACTGTGTCATCTACAGTGACACCAACCTCCACTGT